GGGAAGGGGGATTGGCGTGGCTGTTGTTACGAGTGGCACATTTTTCTCTTTTTAGAGAAGTGTGAAAGCAGAAAGTCCCCGTCCTCTGCCTTCCTTCCTCCGCCTGCTGACGGGGGAGGATTCTGGCCCAGCCCCGGGACATGAGGGCCTGGGCTGAGCGTTTGTAAACAGGCTCGTGGGGGCAGGCGTGTTAGTAGGCGGAGCCACGTGGGAGGGGCCAGTGCCATGTGGGAGGGGCCAGTGCCGCGTGGCGGAGGCCCTGCAATCGGCCGCCTTCCCGCCCCCAACATGACCCAGACCCTGCTCTCTGTTGGGGGGCAGTACAGTCATCCGTCCCTGATCCCCAGGCCTCTGCCCGTTCCCTCTCCCTGTTTTGGGGAAGTAGCTTGTTCCTGAGTTACTTCAGACCCACCTGGCTTGTCCAAACCCGTGGCCATGGTGTCCCCACTGAGGACTGGGCTGCTCGGGCCCCTGCTCAGGTCCTGGCTGCTCAGGCTTTGGAGACTGCCCCCGCCAGGAGGTGCCCAGGCCCTGGCCCTCTCAATGCTGCTATTCAACAAGCTCTGAGTGCAGCCCCCACCCCACTCATTACCAGGAATATACATTTCAAACGCGCTGTAAGGGATCCGGCTCTCCCTGGCAGGGAGCAGAGGAAAGGTGAGGTCATAACCTGTCTGACCTGGAAGCTCCTGTCTGATTTGCATGGCCCTGGAATTGATGGGGACAATGAGATAATCACTGCTGAAAGCCGAGCCCGCCCCCTGCGTGTCCCAGCACGGACGGCAGCCCCGCGGGGAGGGAGGCCCCGTCCCCTAGGCGTCTGCTTCCCATCACGTCCCCCAGGCCCGGAGGCTGCTGGGACACCCTCACAGTTAACCTTCCCTGCGTGAGGCCGGCCGAGGGGCGGCCAGGCCGCGCGGGATAATGAACCCCCTGGCAGAGAAGGGGGCCGCCCAGCACCCCCCCTCGCCCGCCAGCCCACGGCGGGGGGCGGGGGGGAAGGGGCTGGGGCGACTTTGCAAAAACGAGGCAATGATCTGTTTACAGTGATCTGAAAAATACCAGGTTTTGCAGGCTCAGACCCCATTCGTCAAGCCGGAGTGGGCAGGGAAGGCAGGCCAGGCCCCATCCATCCAGGTCTTTTTGCTGCTGCTTCCAACTGCTTCAAAGATGCAATTACCTTGGGAGGCAGGAGCAGCTCAGTTGATTAGCACGGTGAATTAAAAGAATGAGTCACAAATGACATGTCCGGCACTTCCATACTAGTCCTTTGTATTCCCCATGTACCTCACCCCTGTTGT